CTGAAAACTTTCTTCTTCACTTGATTTTAGCCGAAAGGCAGAGAAGCAATGAAAAATTTCTTTTTGTTGTCAAGGTTAATAGCTTGCCCCAGACAGGTAAAATCACTCTTAACACCCACCACACAGCCATCAGTGGTCAGAGCTAGGTGGTGAAGACAGAACTGTATCTGAGTGTTAGCTCATTCACTACCTAATCACATTTAAATAAAGTTATAATTATACAGGCAACCCATGTTCAATGGCATTAAATGCAATATTCACCATGATATGTCAACAATTTTAGCCAATCTAATTTTTTGGTCAATCAACAAATATTTATGAGCAAGGAACTGTACTACAGAATGAAATCACAATTCCCATGGGGGCTAGGTTCTGAAGTCAGCAGGCAAGGTGAAAATCAACATGATCGAATTACCCTAGAATACCCCTTATATCATCCACAAAGCACCATAAACATAGTTTTGTATATTCAACTACACTAAATCTTGAGGACCCCTAAGTAAGATAAAAGGAAGGAAGAAAAGCAAAACCAATAAGCACATATTAGGACAGTTCATTCCTTCAGAATTTATTAAATTCTTAGCAAATGAGTATGGGTCAAGTAGTCTAAAAGGGTCCTGATTGCCTACAGAGTGTACTATATTCTGTTTTAATATTTAGGATCTATACCCTTAATACAAGTTAATGGATTTGTTCAACATAAGATGGGGGAGGAGAGGAGCAGCAACTTGGAAAGGACTGGGTGTGTCAGATACAGCCACGGTCTGGCAGAAATTTACATGCATACATGCAACTTTACTGTATTCTATAAGCCCAGCTGCTGGATCTCAAAGAACCTATAGCTGACACGGCATTAACATGTAAAATGTTAACTTCAAGAATGAATATACTTCTATACTTGCATTTCATTGATTAGTCAATAAACACACAGAGAGCATTTATTATGGGCGACCTACGGAAAAACTCAGTTGCTGCTCTCAAGGAGTTTACAATCTAGTGATGAGGGACGATTGCTAAGTAACACAGCAGAATAATGTACAAATAGTACAATGATGCAGGAAGTAAATTCCTAAGTCTGCCTGATGGAGGCAGGAAAGGCTTGCTGTCTCCAGGGGGTGGGCAAAGTATATCTGCAGAACCCCTACGTCACTCAAAATAATATGGAAAACCACTAGAGTACACCAGTGGATGACATATTCAATCTTGAATTTCACTGATCTGATAAAGTTCAAAAGAGATTTTAAATGACTACATGGGATTTTTACTTTGTCAATAACGACCTTTTAAAAATTATCAGAATTATTTCATAAATGAAAGGATATTTTAGCACCAAAAAAGTAGGAAAAACAAAATATCAAATGAATAAATTTAGCTTTGTTTTATGAAACTACTGGTGGGCCATGGAAAAAGTCGTTCAAGACCAGTATACTAGAAAATCAGTTCAGAAAATCTCTATTCAAGTTCTAAAATTATGTAACTTCTACTTGGAGCTTCTTCGGAGCTCCAATTCTGAGAGAATCAACTTCAAAACTACATTTTTGTTAGTACTGAGTCCATCTTAGGTGTACAAGAAACTATTACACTATTTATTAAGGAAATAAAGTAGGCCAGAGTCATTAAAATAAAAAAGCAATAAAAACCAGAAAAATGAAAAAAGAAGTAATTTTATAGTGTCTATAAAACTTCAACCTCAAAATGTATATTTTAGTTATTTAATATTAATATAATTTTCCCCAAGAACTATTAGCACCTATAATATAGGCAAAGCAACACTGAACTTTGTGTTTATGTGCTTCTAAACTATTTCCTGCTCTTTACTCCTTTGTAGTCAGTGTTCAATTTCATCAACCTCACACTTTTGTTTAATAAATCCTGCTTTCTTTTCAAAAATAGCACAGCACTGAGATATTTCTGAGGATCTATTTCCTCAGAAATAGTTTCAGCACTATTGTTCTCTTTCTTTACATTTCTGCAAAATCTTTCCAGCAACCAGAAATTACTACAAGCACTTGTGACCCTCAAAGCACCAGGAAATCTAGCTGGATAATGAGGTAAAGCTATGTTTCCAGGATTATGTAACCTCTCTGAACCCAAAAAGCAATGTGATCTATTGATCACTGCTCCAAGTATTTTTTTATATCTCAATTTAAAATCTTTAAGTAATAACAATATATTATACAACATCCTGCTAGCTAAACCAAAAGCACTTCTATTGTGCAGTTCAAATATTTCTCTGCTAAAGAAAGTTTTGAGACCCAAAGACCTTTATCTCCCAAACCACTAAATATTAGTTACCTAGTAAACCTTCATAAGAGTTTCAGCTTCATGTTTCTTTTCAATTCCTGACACTGCACATAACATATTCTAGGCAGATCTTAGATCTATCTTTTAACAAAAAGTTGTGTCAGATTCCTGACAGGTCCATTCCAACTTTATTTTAGCCTACTCACACTTTAAGGCAATTTTTCTTAGAAATACTCTCAATAAGACAGGGAAGAGATAACCAGTAATCATCATTTCTAAAACTGCAAACTCATTATCATTAAGCCTTCTCTTTCCTGGGAAATAAAGATAATTCCATTACAACTTTCAAACACTTTTCCCCAAATTTTAAAAAAATACCGTGTCCTCTATATTCCTCCTTGTATAATAACATGACGTTTGCTGCATGAAACACAAAAAAGGTAGAAAGACAGCAATGTGAATCCTCTCTCACACTTTCAGTTTCTATGTACTGATTCCTTAAAATAGCCATCGATAAGACTATATTTCCTGGTGAATTAAATCTGCAAAAAAACACTTTCTATTAAGATGGCTTTTGGGTATCTTGTAGGTTCAGGGATCAAAGGGATGCTCCAGCTGGAACTGAACCAAAGTGCTTCAGAAGGCAACACCCTGAAGTCGCACAATGATTATGTTTAAATAAAATTATCAAGACAACATTTACTCAAAAACTAAGCCATATCTGTCCATATTAGGTTTCCCTAATAATTCATGTATTTCCTCGTAGGTATCACAGAACTTTGGACCATCACCCCTGTACCAAGTCTTTCCAAATAATATCTCCCAGGTCTGTTTCCAAAAGGCACCTGAAAAGCCAAGAAAGCCTTCATCCCCTGTCACTTTCATATGAAAAGAAACTGGGTACAGAAAGTTGGTTTTGGCTAATTCCTTGTGCTCTGTCAGTCAGCCCAAACCTGTCACTGCTCCCAGTCCTCAGTGTCTTAGGCAATGTTTGAGTCCCGACTACATTCTGGCCACTTATCTCTCTGGTAATATCACTCTTACAAAAAAGGCTGCCATCTCTGAACACTCAGACAAGGGCTGTGAAATGGAGGTAGCTCAAATATTCAGAGCAATAATAAAACACAGCCTCTCTCTATTCAAAGCTCCTGGCTGAGCAGCAAAGCCATGTCAACTGCAGAGCCTCGTCTTCTCATTCCCAGTACAATCCTTCGTGGTTGTACAGAAATGAGACCTTCTCTTAATAAGAAAGTCTCCTTCCTTTCTTCAATGTCAGGAAACAAACACAGGACAAACACAGAAGGGGGAGTAAGAAATCGAGGGAGGAGTTTGGCTTAAGGAGATTGGCCCCAATGGAAAAGCCCAACTCTGATGGCCTTTACAGTTCTGTTTCCCCAGTTGACACATTACTAAAACCAAATATACATACTAATTTATAGGGGAATAAAAGAAGAGGGATCCAGGAGGCAGTATAAAAAATAAACCACATTTAGTAATATATACAAATAGGCACAAATACCGAGAAAGGAAATGCAATACCAGGGCTTTCATTGGCTCTAGATTATATCTTTCATTCTACATTTATACATGCAGAAATGAAAGTTTTCTACTGAAATAAAATAGGTTTAACTTTATGCTCAACATACAATATTCATAAATATCAAATGCCTTCATCGGACTTAAGATTTTCTTCTCAAATTTAAATTTTCTCTCACTACAGCCTCTAAGACCTCATTTCCTGTTCATGTCTGCACTTTAAAGCATACGCAGAAGTCACCTGATTTAGCAGTCAGGCTGCACACTCTGCAGCTCTCGTTTTCAAGCACCTTTGAAGACAGAGTGCTATTTAATACTAAATACAAGCAGTCTTTTCATCTTACACTGCAGAATAATTGCTTCCTACTTCAGAACTATAGCACAAGTTACCATCTCTGACTTGCTCTCTGAGTGCTATGGTCAGCATGGAAAAAATGACAATGAACATTATGGGGGTCGTTTCTCAAGGGAGTTAGAGGTTTCCTAACTCCCAAAAGGAAATCATGGCTACTCAGACACAGCACAAGGAGACAGAGCATGAGAAATGACATACGTTATTGGGCTCTGGTTCTGGGAAATCATCTCTACTCAACATTCTCAGAATGCGGACACTAAACACTTCTCAGTGGCAAACACACCAGATAAAAATCATAGCTGCACATGGATGGTGTTTATATTAATAACTGTACATATGTATTTGAGGAAAACTACATATTTATTTGCTAAAGATTATTGTTAACAGAATGCAGTGAAGGTGGGAGGTATGGAATGCTGTTTGCGTAGATTCAGGGAGCTGAACTGATGCTTTCAGAGTTACTTATCATCAAGCTGGGTTCATACAGGCTATCTAACTAAAGATGATAGGGATGAAAATTGTATCAAGGCCTGGCCCACATAATCAACTGTCTTTTATATTTAATAGACACAAAATAGAATGGGAAAAGATGGTAGGGGTAAATGAGGAAAAGCCCACTGGGCTCTTTTCATCCTGCATCACAGAGGAAACAAAAGGAATATGAGAAAGTAAATAACAGGCCACATGGGCCTCAATCCAATTAGAATATCATGATATACAAATAAATATAAAATGCACAGTGAAAAGAAGATGATTTAAATTTCACTTCAAATTGCAAATACTGCTTTTGTCAAAACATAAAATTCCTTTGTCAATTATATCTTAATAGAACCAGGAAAAAATACGTGCACATAAACACACTTACCTTTGCTTGTCTCTTGTTTGCTTCTCTTCTGGCTTCCCTTTCTTTCAGTCTTTTCTCCTACATGAAGAAGGGGAAAATCAGTAACATACAAACTTCTGTTAGGTGTAAAACAGGCTACATATTCATTACAGATTTATTTCTTAAAGCCAGCTGATATGTGACATCCATTTCTCAATATTTACTGAGTATCCACTATGGGATTGGCACATATTTTATCTTCTAAAAATGGAAATAACGGGAGCAAACACTTTATAATGCAGATGTAAGAATTATATAAAATAACATACATAAGTGGTTAGCATAATGTCTGATATACGACTGGCACACCAATCAGTGTTGGCTACTAGAAGAAAAAAATGTGATAATGACTATTTCCTTAGTCCTCTAAAAAAATGCTCACTCTGGGGGTTCTTGGGAAACTGGCAATGTTTTCTCAAACAAAAAACATTGGATGGCATTCTTATAAAGAATGTTATATTATTTTATTAAATTGTTTTTGTAATTTCCCCATTAGTTTTCCATTGATCACAAAATAGGCAGAAAAATGCAACACCAAGATTTTTTAAATAAGAAAAAAGAAATATGTATAATACCAAAATTTTAAAAATGACTCAGGTAATATTGGAATGAATGCTGCTTTAAATTTAAAAACCTATCCTCCTCTCCAAAATAAAAGTGTTAACAATAAAAAGGCTATTCTCGCTCCTACGTACATAGCTAACAATTTATATATTTTTTTAATTTTGATGAATTACTAGATCAATATAAAAAGTGAACAGATAGAAAATAATTTTTCATGAATATGAAAATGCAATCATGATTTACTATTACATTAAACACATAATAACATGCAAATGAACACATTTTCTAAGCCTGGGTACTCCTTCATTACCATTATGCTTTATAGATACATGACTTTCTCCAGATTTAAAAACCAATGATAATCCACACTCTGAAGACAGACCTGAGGCTACTCTGTTGCTTAAACATCAGGGAAGACAGGAATTGATACTATACACCTTGTCTACCTTTATACAATCCCTGTGACAAAGTGAGAACATAAAATCTCAAAGGGCATTAAATACTAATTAATTCAAAGAGGAAGGGAGTTCACAAAGCTCATAGATTCAGTTTCTATAGCTGCAGATTGCACAGCAAGAAAGCTAAATTCCAAGTGAAACTAAAAAATGTCAGCTGGGCACGGTGGCTCATACCTATAATTCTAGCACTCTGGGAGGCCGAGGCAGGAGCATTGCTTGAGGCCAGGAGTTTGAGACCAATCTGAGCAAGAGCAAGACCCTGTCTCTACAAAAAATAGAAAAATTAGCCAGGTGTGGTGGTGCAAGCCTATAGTTCCAGCTACTTGGAAGGCTGAGGCAGGAGGACCCCTTGAGCCCAGGAGTTGGAGGTTGCCGTGACCTATGATGACGCCACTGACTGCACTCTAGTCCACGCAACAAAGTGAGGCTCTGTCTCAAAAAAAAAAAAAAAAAAAAAGAATCCACAAATATATATTCAAACAGCTACTGTGTATATGTCATGCCCCTAAAGTAATAGATGTTTTGTTTTGTTTCCTTTTTTATTCCCCCAGGTGCCCGAGCCCTCAGCTGCACCCAGCCACCAGCAGTGGGCTACAGGCCCGGAACCACAGGCCCAAATAATACATGTTAAATTATTCTGTTTCTGTGATCGTTATTCTTTTTCTTCTCCAGCTTTGAAGAAAAGGGGTAGTACTCCAACTTCCAAATAAAACATGCAACTAACAGGGCAGGTAAAACTTAATATACAATTATACAAGAGAAACATTCTAAAGATTACTTTGAAGTTCCAGAAATCAACATCAGGCAAAGGAAAAGTAAAGATGAAAAAAAGAAAAACTCAGAAAGGTTTTGGCTTGCTCATTGTCAAAGAGCTTAGTTAGACTGATCTGAAACCTCAGTTTTCATGTGCCACGTCTAGTGATTTTGCCAATACATTCTTTTTTTTTTTTTTGGAGATAGTCTCACTGTGTTGCCCTGGCTAGAGTGAGTGCCATGGCGTCATCCTAGCTCACAGCAACCTCAAACTCCTGGGCTCAAGCGATCCTCCTGCCTCAGCCTCCCAAGTAGCTGGGACTACAGGCATGCGCCACCATGCCCGGCTAATTTTTTCTATATATTTTCAGTCGTCCAGATAATTTCTTTCTATTTTTAGTAGAGACGGGGTCTCGCTCTTGCTCAGGCTGGCCTCGAACTCCTGAGCTCAAACAATCCGCCCGCCTCGGCCTCCCAGAGAGCTAGGATTACAGGCGTGAGCCACCGCGCCCGGCCGCCAATACATTCTTAATAATAAAAATGTTAGGGTATGAGTTTTAAACTTTAACAGATGAGACTTTAAAAACAGACAAAAATAACAACTAGTATTATTTTAGCAAGCAGCCAATTAATGCAATAGTTATTATCAAACTCTATCCCTGAATTGGTTTTCTAATGAGATTATGAGAGATATTCTGCTATTAAAATAAAATAAACTGAATGTTTCCTTAAGTTGCAGGAAAAATAAGTTAATGGGTGGCAGTTTCTAAATAATTTGTATGTAATTTCTTAAAAGTTGGCACCAATTACTGATTTTCTTTAAGCATTAGCAGACCACAAAATACATGAAAGTAGCAAAATATTATTAAAAAATTTTCATAACTGATTGTAATTATGCTTAGTTTGAGAGTTGGCTTTAGCTTGAGATCCATGTATTTGTAATTTTATCTCCCTTCTCTTTTCCCACAAAAATTTTGCCTGCTTTAGATACTAAAATTAAGCATAACAGTATTCTATGTTATTCTACAAAAGATCACAATCACTTTCAAGTGTTTTGTTGCTTAAACTAATTTTAAGGCTACAGCTATATAAAACATCAAATAACTATAGAGAATAAAATTGTTTTATTGTACTTTCATAAAATTTTATGTGCCCATTAGTACATTATTACTATTATTATTTTCTTACTGACAGTAATAGCTCAGAAGTAAGTATGAACAATGTGCTATCAGTGCGCACATCAATTTGTTTTTTTAAATCTATGTAACAGAACTTGTAAGGTATTATTATTCCCATGATATAGATGAAAATGGAAAATCAAAGTAACTAAGTAATTTGCCTGACATCAAGGTCTGTGGAGCTCAAGTCCTCACTGCCTCAACTCTACACACCTCAACCACTACACACCGCAGTCCTCCATTAGAACATTAGATATTTAGCTTTGTATGGTCATACACAGCATTCTTATTAATATGTTTTAGGCAAATGTTGTTACTTCTTTCATCGGTAGCAATAGTCTGCTACCATACAGGTCTTTCATCCTGATAGCATTTTTTTTCTGACAGCATTTTTGGACATTACTTAATTAATTTTTGCCAGTCTCCTGCAAAGAACAGATAATTGGCCACATTTACCAGTCATACAAATTTTTGTCATAATTATTCAATAATTGGCCTTCTCCCAACACATTAGAGTATCTGAAAATGGTACTCAAAGTTGAAAAGAATAACCTCAATATGTTTACAACAAAGACAACCTTTCTACACAAGTAAACATAACAATCTCCATGCTGGGGCTTTTTAGTTAGCCATTTTAACCACAGCAGAAAAAATACACTGACAATTTTCTATCTCTACTGAATTCCAGTATTAATTCATTACAGTCACTAAAGGATATTTTAAATTTCAGTTTTCGACTGGCTATCAGAATCTACACGTGCATGCAAATGAGATAATTTTCCCTTTTATGTTTTCTACCACAAATCTCCAGAGGAATATCCAAAGACTTCTGCAACATGAACTGAACATGCCTAAGACATGAAGCAGAAATGCATTAAAGACAACAAACTTTCAATACTGGGTGAAACAAAAGGAAAATAATTTGAAGTAAAGCATTAGAAAACTTGTCTTTCTTATCTGAAAAAGTGATGTGAGTTCATTGTCTGCAAAAAGCCAAGACTATACATTAGCCTTTAAACAGAAACACAGGAAAACAGGAAGTAGAATTACAGTAATTCAAAATTTATAAATGGATATAAGGAAGACAGTATATTCTTTGTGGTAGAAAAAAAAATTTTTAAAGAAGCTTTATGACACGACATAAAGATAAAAGGTTGGAGTACAATTACTTGAGAGGGAAAGTATAATTGAATTTTATTAGATTCAGTAACTGAGGCCCACCCTCTTCCAGTTATGTATGGTTCAAATGCTTTAAATTCTTTATTTTTCCTATTTTTTTGAGGGCATATTGATAAAAAAAACTATTTTATGCCACAAAAAGGGCAAAATTTTATCTTTAGTTCTGCCATGCTACAAATGATTAAGTAAAAGGAGAGCATGAAATTCAATAATGAAAAGCAGATTCACAAGGGGCAGAAAAACAGAAAATCACATTTCAAGGTACAAAATACTGCCTTTCTAGATATTATACTTCTTTTGGTTTCTCACACACTATAGGTCTTTAGCTTCCAGAAAAGAAAACACCATGAAATATGAATTTCATGAGCAGTAAGGACTATGTATTTAACCCTTTTTCATTCTACAGTGGTGCCTGAAAATTTGTAGATTTGGAAATACAACGCATTTTTCAGGTGGTTATGGAAGCACAACCCATTTGAATGAGTCTCAGGCAACTAAGCCAGTCTGGTAAGGAACTGAGTCCTCAGCTATCACACAGGGAAGAAGACGACATTCATCTTTCTTCAACATACAAAAGACTCTTTTTCAGGGAAGAAAAGTGGATCAACAAAAGTGAGTAAAAACAAGAATTCTAAGTCCTAAAGATAGCCCCTGCCATCTAAGAAAAAAATTCCAGTAAACCTAACTCCTTCCCAGGCACTCAACACGACAAGGTTGTGTGATCTGTTACCTATTCTACAGAGTTCTGCTTGAACAACATAAAAAAGTAGTCTTTTAGATCTGCAACAATTATTAACACAACAAGGATATGAAGAGAGGGAGAAAAAAACTGACACAGAAACACTGTTTCACTAATTAATTCCTTTGAATATTTACTGAGCTATTATGTGCCAGGCCACGTGGTAGA